AGGGTTCTGAACTCCAGTCTCCTTAGCCCAAGGAATCTATTAAACCACTGTTCAGCTTCTCATCCTGTCAGCCATCCCTTCTGGTCCTTGTCCCTTGAGAAATTTCTCAAAATAGGCTATCTGGGTTTTGGCTCCATAATTTCTCAGTGCCTTGTTCTCTCATGCATTAAACAGATAATTTTATACTTTTTCAGTGTAGGGTTAGTCTGATTACCTAGAATGTCATTACATGAAGTGGAATTCCCCAAGTTCATCTTTTTTTTTTCTTTGCCTCGTGGTTGCAAGATAACCCCTGTGGCTATAGGCATCATGTCTAAGATTTGTACTAAATTTTTTTCATGTTTACATGTTTTATTTCATTTCCATTTTTATTTTAAAGATGTTATTGCTTCATTATCTCTTTGACCATTTTATTTTATTTTTATTTATTTTTTTCTTTATCGATTTTAGAGAGAGTAGAAGGAAGAGGGAAAGAGATAGAAACATTAATTAGAGAGAATATTGATGGGCTACCCCCTGCATGCCCCCCACTGAAGATCTGGCCCACAACCTGGGCATGTGCCCTGACCAGGAATCGAACCGGCAACCTCCTGGTGCATGGGTCGATGCTCAACCAGTGAGCCACACCAGCCAGGCAGTCTTTGACCATTTTAAACATATTTAGAATCTTTGCTGATGTGTTATATAAAACTAGTTTTTTCTTAATTGAGTTTTCATTCTTATTTTTTATTTTTGTTAGCTTGATTTCTTAGTGTTTTTCTTTCATGTGTGTGGCACTTTTGACATGTTCGCTTCCAATAGAAATTTTTGAGTTCTGTTTTCTCTCCTTTCCATTCTACAGCCAGTATACCTGAAGACCAAAACACTAATCCAAAAAGATATACACACCCCTATGTTTTTTGCAGCATTGTTTACAGTAGCCAAGATATGGAAGCAATCCAAGTGCCCATTATAGATGAGTGGATAAAGAAGTTGTAGTGTACACACACACACACACAATGGAATATTACTTGGCCATAAAAAAGAATGAAATCTTATCTTTTGCAACAACATTGATGAACCTAGAGGTTATTATGCTGAGTGAAATAAGTCAGACAGAGAAAGACAAGTGCCATGTGATTTCACTTATTTGTGAGATCTAAAGAACAAAATAAAACAGAAACAAACTCATAGATGCAGAAAACAAATCTGATGGTTGCCAGATGGGAAGGGGGTTGGGGAGTTGGGTTAAAAGGGTAAAGGGATTAAGAAGTACAAATTGAAGTACCGGGCCAGTGTCGCAATGGATAATGCGTCTGACTACAGATCAGAAGAAGTACAAATTAATAGTTACAAAATAGTCACAGGGATATAATGTACTTACTGCATAAGGAATATAGTCAGTGCGCAGCCAGTGTGGCTCAGTGGTTGAGCGTCCACCCATGCACCAAGAGGTCGCTGGTTCGATTCCCAGACAGGGCACTTGCCCAGGTTGTGGGCCTGATCCCCCGTGGGGGGCATGCCGGAGGTGGCCAATCAATGTTCTCTCTCATCGATGTTTCTCTCTCTCTCTCTCCCTCTCCCTTCCCCTCTCTAAAAATCAAGAAAGAAAAAAACAATTTAAAAAAAGGAATATAGTCAGTAATATTGTACTATGTATGGGGCCAGGAAGTACTTGAATTATCAGGGGGATTACTTCATAAATTATGTAATTGTCTAACCACTGTGCTGTACACCTGAGACTAATATAAAATAATATCGAATGTCAACCTTAATTGAAAAGAAATTTTTTAAAAGATACTCAACCTCATCAACCATCAGGAAAATGCAAATCAAAACCAAAGTGAGGGACCAGTTCACGTCTATTAAAATGAATATACCAAAGAGACAGGTAATAAGTGTTGGCAAGGATGTAGAGAAATATGGGACCTTCATGCACTGCTGGTAGGAATGTCAAATGGAACAGTTACTTTGGAAAACAAGCAGTTCTACAGAAGGTTAAACATGCAGTTACCATATGACCCAGCAATTCCATGTATGGATTTATATACTCAAGAGATATGAAAGCATTTGTCCACACAAAAACATGTACATAAATTTTCAGAACAGCATTAGTCATAATAGTCAAAAAGTGGAAACAATTCAGATTTTCATCAAATGATTCATGGATAAATATAATTGAATAATAAAGGCAAATGAAGTGTTGATGCATACTCCAATATGGATAAACTTTCAAAACATTATGCTAAGTGAAAGAAGCCAGTCAAAAAATACTACATATTGTATAATTCCATTTACAGTAGAGCTTCAGTATTTGCGGGTTCTGTATTTGCAAATTCACCTACTCACTAAAATTTACTAGTAACCTCAAAACCATTACTCATTGCACTTCCATGATTATTTGCAGACATGCTTAGAGTAGCAAAAGATCGGAGTCATTTCTCAGCTGAGGTTGACAAAGCAGCACTCTGATTGCTTGTTTTAGCTCTTGTAATGTAAACAGGGGTCCTTTTCACAATCTACTTAGTGGCACATTTTCCACATTTTTGCTGGTGATTTCACTGTTTTAAAATGGCCCCCTAGCCCTGGCCGGTTTGGCTCAGCGGTTATAGCGTCGGCCTGCAGTCCAGAGAGACCTGGGTTCGGTTCCCGCTAAGGGCGCATACCTTGGTTGCAGTTTGTCCCCAGCCCTGGTTGGTCCTGTGGGTGGCAGCCACTCGATGTGTTCCTTTCACGTCGATGTTTCTCTCTCTCTCTCTCTCCCTTCCTCCCTCTCTCCCTCCCACTCTAACAAAAAAAGTGGAAAAATGTCCTCGGGTGAGGATAAAAAAAGAAAATGGCCCCCTAGTTCCCAGCTGGTGTGGCTCAGTGGATTGACTGTCAGTCTCTTAGACTGAGAGGTCGTGGTTCGATTCCCAGCCAGGGCACATGCCCAGACTGTGGGCCTGATCCCCAGTGGGGGCCATTCAGGAGGCAGCTGATCGATGTTTCTCTCTCTCTTTCCCTTCCTCTCTCTCTCTAAAAAAATCAATTAAAACATTTTTTAATGGCCCCCTAGTCCGACCAGTGTGGCTCAGTGGTTGAGCTTTGACCCATGTACCAAGAGGTCGCCAGTTCGATTCCTTGTCAGGGCACATGCCCAGGTTGTGGGCCTAATCCCTGGTGGGGTCATGCAGGAGGCGGCCAATCAGTGTTTCTATCTATCTTTCCTTCTCCCTTCATCTCTCTTTAAAATCAAGAAAGAAAAAAATTTTTTCAAAATAAAAATGGCCCCTAAGCATAGTGCTGAAGTGCTGTCTAGTGTTCCTAAAGAGCGTTGTTTTCCCCAGAAACAGTGATTCTATATGTGCTAATTCAATGTTTGCAGCAACTTTATAGAATATAACTATAGGAAATAACAAAAATCGACTATATCAAATATCCAGAATTGATAAAGTAGATTAGTGGTTTCTTAGGACTGGGGATAGAGCAGGAAATGGAGAGTGACTGATAATTAATATGGTATTTCTTTTTGGGATGATGAAGAATTACATATGGTGATAGTTGAATACCTCTGTGCATATACAAAAACTAAAACATTACCAAGAGTCAATAGTTACTTTTTAAAACCATATTTGAGAAAAATACTTAAAAGGCCTAAATAAATGAAACATATATTGTATTTGTGAGTTGACACTCTCAATATAATAAAGATGTTGACTACCTCAAATTAACCTGCACATTCAATGTAATTCCCAAACAGAATCTCAATATGGTTTTGGGAGGGAGAGTAGGTTATAAAACTTCAAGCTCTGATTCTAAAATGTGTATGGAAATTCAAAGGGTCAAATAGCCAACACTCTTAAAGATGAAGAATAATGTGGGAGGGTTTGTTTTATTGGATATTAAGATCTGTTATAAAACTAGTAATTATTATAGTGTCATTTAGTTGCAAGTATGGACTATATCTAGTGACCAGCCCTGAGAAAACGGACAAGCGTCTTAAAAAGAAACTACAGCCCTGGCCGGTTTGGTTCAGCGGTGAGAGCGTCGGCCTGCGGTCCTGAGAGACCCGGGTTCGGTTCCCGCTAGGGGCGCGTACCTCGGTTGCAGTTTGTCCCCGGCCCTGGTCGGTTGTGCGGGTGGCAGCCACTCGATGTGTTCCTTTCGCATCGATGTTTCTCTCTCTCTCTCTCTTCTTCTCTCTCCCTCCCACTCTACCTGAACAAAAAATGGAAAAATGTCCTCGGGTGAGGATAAAAAAAAAAGAAACTACAGATTGAAGATAGTACTAATAATGCCAGCATAAATAAACTAGAAAATAGAGTTCATTCATCTATTTTATCTTATGTATTTATCTTAACACTGAGATTCTACGCAACTGGATATTAGAGACTATTTCCTTTTTTTTTTTTCCAATTACAATTGCTGTACAATATTATATTAGTTTCAGGTGTACAACCCTGTGGTTAGACATTTATATAGCTTATGAAGTGATGACCCCAGTAAATCTAGTACCCTTCTGACACTATACATAGTTATTACGATATTGTTGACTACATTTTCTATGCTGTGCTTTACATCTCCAGGACTGTTCTGTAACTACCAATTTGTACTTTTTAATCCCTTCATCTTCCTCACCCAATGCCCCAACCCCCCTCCCCTCTGGCAATTGTCAAAATAGTCTATCCCTGAGCCTGTTTCGCATTCCAGGGTTTTTGTGTGTGTGTTTTGTTTGTTTGTTTGTTTTAATTTATCTTTATTGTTGAAAGTATAACAGATGTCCCTCCTCTTTCCTCCATTGACACCCTCCTTCCCGTGGCCACCCTCCCTCCCCGCACTGTTGTCTGTGTCCATTGGTTATGCATATATGCATATCAGTTCTTTGGTTTATAGAGACTATTGGTTTATAGAGACTATTTCTTACTTCTTACATATCTTCAGTAGACTCTCATAATGCTAGATATAGGAGGTATTTAATAGTAAATTTGACTTGACTCTATTGTGTTTAAGTTACTGTTTTGAATCTTTTTTGGTTTTAGATCTGCTGATTTGGGTCCTACTTTATTGACAAGACCTGGACAACCAACACTTACCAGAGTGCCCCCGCCTATTCTTCCAAGGCCATCACAGCAGACAGGAAGTAGCAGTGTGAACACTTTCAGACCTGCTTACAGCTCATTTTCTTCAGGATATGGTGCCTATGGAAATTCATTTTATGGAAGCTATAGCCCTTATAGTTTTGGATATAATGGGTTAAACTATAATCGCCTCCGTGTAGATGATCTTCCGCCTAGTAGATTTGTTCAGCAAGCTGAAGAAAGCAGCAGAGGTGCATTTCAGTCCATTGAAAGTATCGTGCATGCATTTGCCTCTGTCAGTATGATGATGGATGCTACCTTTTCAGCTGTGTATAACAGTTTTAGGGCTGTATTGGATGTAGCGAATCATTTTTCCCGATTAAAAATACACTTCACAAAGGTTTTATCAGCTTTTGCATTAGTTCGGACTATAAGGTATCTTTACAGACGGTTACAGTGGATGATTGGTTTAAGAAGAGGCTCTGAGAATGAAGACCTATGGGCAGAAAGTGAAGGAACTGTGGCTTGCCTTGGTGCTGATGACAGAGCAGCTAACTCAGCAAAATCTTGGCCAATATTCTTATTCTTTGCTGTTATCCTTGGTGGTCCTTACCTCATCTGGAAACTGCTGTCTACCCAGAGTGATGAAGTAACGGGTAAGAGTAAGAGGTTGGATTTAGAAATCACATAATAATCTTAAATTTCAAGAATAGATTTGTTAAATTATCATTCTTTATATTTATTTGTGTTTAATATTTTGATCCAGTTATATTTTTAGTTAAGAACTGCAAAACTGGAAGAGAAATATATAGCAAAAATAGGTTTGTAGATTTATTCATTGTTCATTCAGTATAACAGTGCATATTACTTAACTACTGTTTATAAGGTATAAAACTTGATGCTATGGAATATATAAAGATACATAGGACATAATCTCCCTATTTTTCTAAAACATATTGGCATGGATGTGGGCATGACACATATACAGATAATTACAATGAGTCAGAAAGAGTGTGATGAGGAACATGACAGTTGGGGAAAGACAAGGTTTATTGAGGCTTTTTTATATGCAAGACACTGCTAGGTGTTTTGTGTATTTCATCTCATTTAATTTTTACAATAACCCTAAGAGATAAGAATTATCTTCATTTTAGAAGTGACAAAACTAAGGTTCAGAGAAGTCAGTTGCCCAAGGTCACATCTATAATAAGGTAGAACTAGAAACAAAACCAGGCCTGTTTGACTGTTAAGTTCCTACTCCACCGTTACAGAGTGCTATATTAATTCAGAAAAGTAAAGCTGATTTTTATTTATTTATTTATTTAGCTATTGCTATCCAAGAAGTGGCATTTAAGTTAGGTTTTTGAAGGACAGCTAACATTTCATCAATTAGGTAGAGAAAAACAGACTGTTTAGCAGATGAAACAGATTGAAAAAAAGTACATAGGAAATATGATGTTGAGCAGCTGTCCTATAGCATAGAATAAAAGGATAATAAGTAAGACTGAGAAATAAGGTTGAAGGCTAATAATGGAAGATCTTAATCTTCATTTAGTAAGGAAAGGGTATTCTTTTGTGTATGGTGTTTTTTTAAGCAGACTTGCAACATACAGTGTTCTAAAGAGAGCAGACTGTCTCAAGGATTTGAACTTTAGAGTCCACTTATATACTAATTTTTTCCAATAAATACTATCAGCCGTTTGCTTCTATGGGATTCAAATCCAAAGATTCAACCAACCATGGATGAAAAATACTGCTTTTCATTCATTATTAGTCAAATTCACAGATAAGAAGGGTGACTATAGAGTCAAATGACATATGTGGACTTTGGACACAGCCCTTGGTACTCCTAACCGCTGCATTGTGCAAGGGTTACCTGTAGAAGTCAGAAGGGAATAAGTGCTACAGAAAACAAATAAATCAGGGAAGAATGTTGCAGAACCAGGGTTAGGAAATGGGATTACAATGTTCCACTAATCAGGGAAGGCCTCCCTAAAGGAGGTAAAAGATTAAGCCCTGCAGCTATTTTTTTTTTTTATCCTCACCCAAGGACATTTTTCCATTTTTTGTTCAGATAGAGTGGGAGGGGGAGAGAGAGAGTGAGAGAGACAGAGAAAGAAACATTGATGTGAAAAGGACACATCGAGTGGTTGCCACTTGCACGACCCAACCAGGACCAGAGACAAACTGCAATCGAGCTACATGCCCTTAGCGGGAACCGAACCCGAGTCTCTCTGGACCACAGGCCGACGCTCTAACCGCTGAACCAAACGGGCCAGGGCGACCTGCAACTATTTGAGGGAAGTATTTGAGGCACAGGGAACAGCAAAAGTGCAAAGGTATGTAAGTAGGGTGCCTGGTATGTTATGTGAACAGCAAAGAGACCAGTGGGAAAGGAACAAAGTCTGTGTAGCAGGAGATAGAGGAGGGAAGAATACAATGTTTTGGGATCTCCAAGCAAGTGCACAGGAAATTTCTATATTTCAAAGTCCATTGAACTATGCAATTGAGAAGTTTCCACTAACTGTTCATTTGGAAGTGATTAAATTCTAATATAATGGCATGGCATAAGTTAATACAAAAGAAAATTTAACAGAATTCTACTGTATTTGTCTTCTTATGGATGAATATGCTCAATCAAAACTGCAAATTCAGAGGATTAATATCAGGATTTGTCAGTACCTATCTGTGTGAAAAAACATTTTCAAAGATGAAATACCTCAAATCTTATGAATGAGCATTAACAGGTGAACATTTGCACTTGATATGATGATAGGAAACGCTACCTTTGAACCCCAAAATATTATCCTATCCTCAAAATCCCATTCTTCTCAGAGGTAGACCTGTATCATTTAAAAAAACAAACAAACAAAGAAACAAAAAACAACAATTTTTATTACATTTTGAGTTTTGTCAAAAAATTTATGGAAGAGTTTTTCTTCTCTTGTTATATAAGTACAGTATCTTCAATTTGCCTCATGACCTGCAAAGCCGAAAATATTTACTAGAAAAAATATTTGCTAACCCTTGGCTTAAAGTAAGGAAGCTAGAATTTTGAGCTTGAAGAAGAGGGAAAAGTTCATAATAGATACCCTAGTGAACGTACTGTTGACTTTACATCATGTTATTTATAGAATTTACTTTAGGGGGTGACTTTTCTTGGCAAATAAATTTATGTAGTTTGCAAACCACAACCAGTAAAATAACTTCATTTTTCTTTTGTAAATTATACTAACTTAATCTTAATTCTTTATTTGATTTATAGACAACACCAACTGGGCCAGTGGTGAGGATGACCACGTAGTTGCTAGAGCAGAATATGATTTTGCTGCTCTATCTGAAGAAGAAATTTCTTTCCGTGCTGGTGATATGCTAAACTTAGCTCTCAAAGGTAACAACACGTGAATAAATTGAAATTATCTGTGAATTTTTAGAATATGTAAATGTATTAAAAACTGCAACAAAAGATATTGGTTATTGTCAGTTAACTCAGAAGTACTTACTAGGATTTCTCTTTCATGTCTATTTGGAACTTTAAAATGTGGGTAGTGGGGGGAAAATGCCCCAACAAAGTTGTTCCAATAATATTTCACTGAGCTAAGGAAAGAGTTTGTTAATCTCTTCTAAAACCAAAACACTTGAATTCCAAACTGTTAATCCCCACACATAAACATGAAGTAAACACTAAATATAACAAATCTAACAAACCAAAGAATTTATCTAGCACCATTTAAGTATTCCTTTCTTTGTATTGCTGCTTTCTGTTTTACTTGAACAGTGTTTACTTCAGAAACTTCAACATGAATGTTTTAGGAATTACAGTTGGACTAGGTCACCAACAGTTTTTAATGGCTCCAGGGAAAATGGCCTTTTTCTTCAGCTAGCCCCAGTAGTGATGATCAGAATTTTTGTTGATTTACAAAAAAAAAAGATCTTTTGTGTGTTTGTGAGGATTCAGGTTTGCTATGAAAAGGCACATTGTTGGTAAAGATACTAGTAATAATCATAAGCACCAGCATTTATAGAATACTGCTTACTATGTACAAGGCACTATACTTGACATATTTTGTTTAACCCTTATAATAATAATGCTGTGGAGTTTGAACATTATTATCTTGTTCCTGTTTTATACATGAGAAAACTACGACTCAGAGTTCTGAGTAAATTTTCCAGTATTACAAAACTAAGATGTAGTGGAGCTGGATTATGAACCTAAGTTTATCTGACTTCTGAACCACTTTGGCTTTTTCCTGTGTGATCTGTTAATGGAAGCTTTAGTCTGTAATTGCTTAGTCACTTTTTACATAAGGAAAAAATAACCTCACCATTCAAATCATTAGTTTAATGTGTAAATAATTTAAATTTTGTATCAAGTTTGCTAAATCTCAGTATATTCCCTCATACACAAAATCTCAGCTTCTAGGCATTACATTCATGTTTTTCATCTAGTAAAAATTGCTTCTTATTATTTTGGATTTCAAAAGAATGATTACTTTATAAAATTTATTGTTAAAGATAGGTCCAATACAGATAATTAGTATTAATTAATCTTATAAATAAACAATATAGGTTTCTTTTAATTACATCATAATAATTTAGAAAAATGTTATATCTTAGATTATTCTTCTATTAATATTGCCTTTTAACACTGTGGCTTTGCTTCTTTGCTTTCTTCCAAAGCTCAAGTAAAGCATGTTTGTGCATTTAGAACAAAATCAGTCACAGACGACGTGGTTAATTTGTTTTCTTTTTTATAGCACATTAAATATTAAAATGTCATATCATGTCTAAACTATAATGTTGAACTAAAACTCTGGCATTAAACAGCTTTTTAAAGACATGAATAAAATAGGTGAGAGAATACCAAAATACAAAACTGAATATATTAAATCTCTCCTACTTTAAGCTTTGGTTATTGCCTTTAAATTTTTGTCATAAAGACAGAGATAACAGAGGTGTTCACTTTTGCCCACATTTTTGCCCATCTTGTATTATAATTAACATTCACTGTCTTCAGGATTGTTCATTACAATCACATAGTATGACTTTTATATTTTGGCCAAAGTATGTAAAGAAAGCTGGCTTACATGAAGGTATATATTTGTTTTCTATACTTATCCCTGACTTATCCTATTGAGAAGGATTGATAAATCTTCATTTCTCAAATTCCAGTCTAAAATATGAAAGACATTGCCCAGCCGGTGTGGCTCAGTGGTTGAGCATCAACCCATGCACCAAGAGGTTGCCCGTTCGATTCCTGGTCAGGACACATGCCCTGGTTGTGGGCCCAATCCCCATTGTGGGGTATGCAGCAGGTGGCCAGTCGGTGTTCTCTCTCATCATTGTTTCTGTCTGTCTCTCTCTCTCCCTTTCTCTTCTAAAATCAATAAAGAAAGAAAAAAATTAAAATAAAATAAAATATGAAAGACATTGATATTAGTTTTCAGTTTTGGAGATAGCTGAATCTCCTTATTCTATGTATGGACCAACTGATACAAACTTTATGTTCTTCAAGGTTGAAAAAAATATTTAGTAGGTATAAAATGTATAAATTATAAGAAGGGATCCTAGAACTGTTAAGCCTATCATTTGATATTGAATATGTGTATATGCTATTTGCTTATATATTTTATTATATAAGTATAACACCGTTTTTACTTAATATTTTACAGTTAATATTCTTTTGGACCTCCAAAGTTTGTCATAATTACAAGGCTGTCTTTTTTTTTCATCAGAACAACAACCCAGAGTGCGTGGTTGGCTTCTGGCTAGTCTTGATGGTCAAACAACAGGACTTATACCTGCTAATTATGTCAAAATTCTTGGTAAAAGAAGAGGTAGAAAAACACTGGAATCCATTAAAATTTCCAAGCAGCAACAATCTATGACCAACACAACACTAATTAAAGGGGCCACAGCGGCTGATTCTTTGGATGAACAGGAAGCTGCCTTTGAATCTGTTTTTGTTGAAACTAGTAAGGTTCCAGTTATACCTGATTCCACTGGGAAAAGTGGAGATAAACAAGATCTTTGATATCTTTCATGTATGCCTGCAGTTGAACTATAGAATACTTTTAAAAAATTACTTCTTGTAAAGAAATTATTCTACAATCCAACGAAAACATTTATTGCTATTCCAGGTGTTTTGCTGCTAGAAATTGTTAAAGTTGTACACTAGTATGTTGGTCTAGTGACCTGGTTACATTTATAAGTTATTGGACTACAAAGATGTTTGTTTCACCTGATTTTAAGATTATGGAAACTGTATCATTTTCATCTTATTTTAAACCCCATGTTTATTGCCTAGCCTGATGGTTCAATTGGTTGGAGCACAGTCCCGTACACACCAAAAAGGTTTCGTGTTCAATTTCCTGGTCAGGGCACATATTGAGGTTGCAGCTTTGATCCCTATTTGGGCCACGTATGGGAGGCAACTGATTGATGTTTCTCTCTCTCTCTCTCTCTCTCTCACTCTCACTCTTTCTCTTCTAAAATCAATAAACATATCCTCAGGTGAGGATTAAAAAAAAGAAGTCAAACCCTATGTTTACTGAAGGAGTAAGAATGATGAACTACAGAATATACTGTTTGCTACAGTAGGGATTATTAATGTTTTTAAAAATTCTTCATTAATTGTCTTGGGATCCTCAGAAGTTGAGTGCTAACATATGAGAACAAGAAGAAAGGCTAATTTTTTTTTTTTTTACAACTTTAATTATATTGAATAATAAACATTTTCTGATCTGTATTACACTCAGTCTTGGGTTTGTTTTAGGCAGTAATATGTTTTTGCCCACTAACAATTGATACTATTATCTTTTATTGTATATTTAAGAATTTATCTTGAAAAGGTTGCTAGAAGCATTCTGAAGGAGATGGTTCTGGAGTATATTTAGCCCTAATAGTTTTCCCTGCTACTAAAAAGGTCGACATTGATCTTTCTTACAGTTTATTTCCATTTCTTCTGAGGAACAAAACATTTTTTCCTTTACGATATGATTAGTTTTCATCCTGAATGAATCAGGATATAGGAGAGATTTACTTTCTTTTTCTCCGACCAAGACTCAAGTTCTTGGAGTTTGTGCATAATGATATAATCAATTCTAGCAGTAATGATTTAAAATCTTTTCATAGATTCTCTGCTTCTAACTAATATAATTACTTTTTAAGAGTCCATATTCAAGCTGTTCATTGAAAATACACATTTTTTTAGGTTTAGTTTTTACTACTTGAGACTATAAATGAAATTCTGAATTGCCATTTAGCATATGATAATGCTATTTGACTTTTTTGTTTAATAATGACATTAACTACAGTTAAATTTCAGTACACTGAATATTTACACACAAAATTGGAAAATTTGTATACTTGCTGTGATCATACTACAAAATAATACTGTCAGAAATCCAGGTGTACAAGAATATATTCACAAGTATTGTTGAAAACCTGCAATTTTTTTGGTAAAGATTTTTATTTGGTATTTTTATCTTTTTATAGACTCTATGTTAACCAAATAAGTAATTCTAGAACATTTCAGACTGAAAAACATATAGGAACCAAATATATACTCAGCATAGAACTTTACGAAAGACTATTTAGGAACCTCTCTTTTGATATGACAGTATAAGTAGCATATAATTTAAAATACAAATATTGACCCTGTGCAGAAAAAAGTAATGAGATAGCAAAATGTAATCTTAAATCTGTATTTCTAATACCCAGGTATTACATAGTCTTCAAAGTTTCTTGTATATTATTTTCCATTTTTGTTCTACAATTTGAGTTCTGTTTTGTTTTGTTGTAGTGTCATTTTTAGAAATTTTTTTCTTGAAACAAATTTTTGATGAAACAAATTATTAAATTTGGTGTTGAGACATCTGAATTGAATGCTATAAGTGAAGTATAGAGGTGAAATGTTGAGTCAGTCTATATTTAGGTTAGAAAAGGTGAGTTAGACTTTGTGACTGGTATTAAAGATGTATAGGGAGAAGAATATAGCAAACAAGAATAATTTCACTTAGGGTGTTTACTTTTTAGTTAAGTATGCTAAATTGTGATATATGTTATCTGACTGGTAACTATTTGTGTCTGAAAATTCCTTTTCTATTAAAATTCTAGAAAAGGAATTTAGGGATAGAATAAGAAATTTTGTAATATTTTTATGACAGTTTTAGTATACTTTTTTTAGATGATATTAAATGTAATGTTCAAGACTTCAATATTGTTATTTTGAGGAACTTATTTAAGGAATACTGCTTTGCAGAAATTACTAAAACCAAAACATTTTCAATTAAATAGCATAATAAATCACAAGTTACAGTAAGAAAACAGGTTTTATTTACAAGTTTTCTCTTATTTTGTCAGTTTAGAAAGGAATAGGTAAGAAGGTGGTAAATTTTCATGTTTTAACATTTTATTTATGTACTTGATTTAGTCTTTCAATGTCATAATTTTTCATTTACTTGACTATAGCCATCCTTCATCTTGTGCTTTCTTTAATGGAAAAAACAAAAATTGAATGCAGGTAAAATTTTATTTTTAATAGATTGTGAGGTTACTTTTACTGGACAAATAAAACTACATTAAACTTGATTGACATTTTTTTTAAGATAAACTGTTAACTCTTTTTGCAGGATTGGAGTTGATATAAAAAAGTCTCTATTTTTCTTCATATCATTGTGTATATTAACTACTGCAAACCAGTCTGTCTGTTCTATTTCCTTGTGAGTTAAAGGAAAAAATACACATTCTATATAAAAATTATCTAGAACGTGAGTGAAATAAAAAGACTATAGCCCTGGCCAGCACTGCTCACTGGTTAGAGCATCAAACCCTTCAACGAAGGGTCGCAGGTTTGATTCCCATTCAAGGGCACGTACCTGGGTTGCAGGTTCGATCCCTGGGCCTGGTTGGCAATCAGTCAGTGTATCTCCCTCACATCAATGTCTCTCTGTCTGTCTCTCTCTCTCTCCCCCTCACTCCTCCTCCCCCTCCCCCTCTCCCTCTCTTCCTCTCTCCCTCCCTCCCTCTCTTCCCCTTCCTCCATCCCTTCTACTCTCTCTAAAAATCAATGGAAAAAATACCCTCTCGTGAGGATTAACCAAAAATAAAAAATAAGACTATAGCATTGGCCAGTGTGACTCAGTTGTTTGTGGGTTGTCCCATGCACTGAAAGGTTGCCTGTTTGATTCCTGATCAGGTCACATTCCTGGGTTGCAGGCTTGATCCCCAGTGGAGGACATAAAGGAGGCAGCCAATTATGTCCCCCACCCACCCTTCCTCTCTCTCTGAAAATCAATATTAAAATTTTAAAAATAAAACTATAAATCTGGGTTTTGGATTCTAATCTGGATACCACTACTACTTATTATAAGACTTAACTCACATTATTTTTTAGTTTCCTTGTTGATGATGTTGGGCATAGCTGCTACATCTGCCTCATATGAGAGTGCTTTTTTTTCCCCCTCCCCACAAATAAGATTATTTTAAACAGCTTCTTGACTGGGGGCTCATATCCATCAGCTTATTCACCTTTTTTAACACCTGTCTCATCCCCAGTAGCTTTTCCAGAACTACTAACTTCACCATGAAGGTCCATGAGTTTTCCCTTTTCAAATTTGGGCGTCTTTAGCATTTTGACTTTTCTAACAAAGACATAATGGAGCAGATAGATTGGCAGGCCTTTTCTGTCTTCCATTGCTATCTGTAATCAGTTTATTGACCACTTCTTTTACATCATTTGCATCTCTTGGGCCATGATTTCCATCTTTTTCCAGATTTTGCAGACCTGTTGATGCTAAGCATAAGAGGCCTTCAGAATCTGATTGTTAACGTTTTTTTAGTAAAACCAACACAGAATTGATGAAGCAAATAACCATCAACAAGAGCTTCAATCATGATCTGCCATTTTTTCTTTACCATGAAGCACATTTTGTCACAGGTAAGATCTACGCAATGGAAAGCAGGCAGTTTTTGCTCTGAATGTCCTTAGTAATTAGCTTGGATTTTCTAAATGCAGCTTCATCATTCTGTAGATCAGCGAGGCTTACTTCAAAAACACAACCTCTGAGACCATCAGGTGCAATTTTGGTTTCTTGAGTTCTTTTTTTTTAAATTTTAATCCTCACCCAAGGATATTTTTTCAAATATCTTCAGGTAGAGCATGTGTGTGTGGTGGGGGAGGAACATCAATGTGAGAGAAACACATCGATTGGCTGCCTCCCGCAGGACTCTGACCAGGGCCAGAGACAAACCGCAACTGAGGTACATGCCCTTGGCCAGAACCTAACTCACGACTCTGGTCCACAGGCCAACGCTCTAACTGCTGAGCCAAACCGGCCAGGACAATTTTCTTGAGTTCTTATGACTAGTGTTTTCCAATATTTCTTACATTGAACATAGCTAGTGCTTTCACATCATACTGATCTATTTTTTGTTGTTGTTAATGACGACAGCTAATGTTTATTGAGCACTTGATGTGTGTCTGGCATAACATACCGATCATTCTTAGAAAATTAATTGACTGCTTGCTTCTTGGCTCCCTTTTTGCCGCTGTTCATAAGGTGCTTGTTCTTGCTGACCACCATGGTGCTGCTCAGAGAGCACAAAGGGAGGAAGTTGAGAGTGCTTTTTAGAAATATAAAGCATAGCCCTGGCCCTGTGGCTCAGTTTGTTGGAGTACACCAGAAGGTTTTGGGTTCAGTTCCCAGCAGGGCACACACCTAAGTGGTGGGTTTGATCCCTGGTCAGGGCACATACAGGAGGCAACTGATTGATGTTATTCTCTCACATCAGTGTTTCTTTCTCACTTTCCTTTCCTCTGTCTCTGAAAATCAATAAAAATGTATCCTTTCCCTGGCCGGTTTGGCTCAGCAGTTAGAGCGTCAGCCCATGGACCAAACAGTCACAGGTTCAATTCCAGTCAAGGGCACGTACCTCAGTTGCGGTTCATTCCCAGCTCTGGACAGGGTGGTGCAGGAGGCAACCAGTCGATGCATCTCTCTCACATCAATGTTTCTCTCTCCCTCTCCTTCCCTCCCTCCCACTCTGTCTGAAGATAAATGGAAAAATATCCTTGGGTGAGGATTAAATATATATATATGTACACACACACACACACACACACATACCCAGCTGGTGTGGTTCAGTGGATGAGCGTTGACCCACGTACCAAGAGGTCACTGGTTCCATTCCCAGTCATTGCACATGCCCAGGTTGTGGGCCCCATCCCTAGTATGGGGGTGGGAGGGCATGCAGGAGGTGGCCAATCGATGTTCTCTCTTATTGATGTTTCTATCTCCCCCCCACTAAAAAAAATCAATGAAAACATTTTATATAGAGATATATCACAATAAAAAATAAGATGTTACAGAAGTTATATGTTATGTATATTTAAACTTCTTAAAAATGTCACAAAGTATTATCAGTGTAGGATTTCAGCTTCATACATAATTAAAAATTAAAATTAATTTCCTTGTAGTTATGACTGCCAAAATGCAATTTTAAATTACTTTGCTGAATACCTTAATTTAGGAAAACTGGAATATTTATTCAGCACAAGAAGTTTTGTTTTTTCAGCATTGCCTTGAAATGTCCTTTTATATTATGTAGTTTTTTATAGTTAGCTCATCTTCTTTGGGAGAATGAACTATTTCTTTTAAAGTCAACTAACACAAATCCTGTGGGGTACTTACAATATAATGTCCCATGAATAGTTTTCCACACTTACAAGTACTTCCATGTGGAAACATGGAGTAGAAATTACATTAGATTGAATAAAATGTTAGATTAAATTTGTATTTTAAATTTGTCTTTATATTTGCTTATTTTTTGTCTGTTGTTTCTAAAAGGAATATATGTAAAATGTCCAGTTGGTAGCTTCTCACAGTTTTTATCAGTTATTTCATATTTTATGCCACCTTATTATAAGTTTTCTATTTATGCTTTCTGTTTTTTTATAGATCAAATTTTCTTCTGCAAGTTTGAAAGCTGTTTATGCTATTTTTTTTTCTTGTTGTGGTTACTTCTAACCCCTAGTTATGTTCATTTTTCTCTACCAGTGTTTAAAGTTATCAATATTGAAATCTTATAACAACACAAGAATATTGGGATGGTATCATCCTCCCAGTTTTCTCCTCCAGACACTGCATCCCCCGCTATCCCTATTCCTTTACCAATGTTGGTATCACTTGAAGTTTTTATTTTAGATTGTTATGGTTAATGTTTTATGTTTTTGATTTATTTATTTTTTTATCCTCACCAGAGGACATTTTTTGATATTTTGTTCAGATAGAGTGGGAGGGAGAGAGAGAGAGAGGAACATCGACGTGAAAGGGACACATGGAGTGGTTGCCAACCACACGACCCAACCAGGGCCGGGGACAAACTGCAACTGAGGTACGCGCCCTTAGCGGGAACTGAACCTAGGTCTCTCCGGACCACAGGCCGACGCTCTAACCGCTGAGCCAAACTGGCCAGGCAAATGTTTTATTTTTAATATTTGCCTAGTTGAACAAATAACTTGTCTGAAGTTCCTATATATGTTTTATCTATTCATTTGCATTTGTATCCTCACCCGAGGATATGTTTTTTTTATTTTATTTATTTATTTATTTATTTTTTATCCTCATCCGAGGACATTTTTCCATTTTTTGTTCAGGTAGAGTGGGAGGGAGAGAGAGGAACAGAGAGAGAGAGAGAAACATCGATGTGAAAGGAACACATCGAGTGGCTGCCACCCGCACAACCGACCAGGGCCGGGGACAAACTGCAACCGAGGTATGCGCCCTTAGCGGGAACGAACCCGGGTCTCTCTGGACCGCAGGCCGACGCTCTAACTGCTGAGCCAAACCGGCCAGGGCTGGTTTTTGATTTTAGAGAAGAGGAAAGAGAGAAACATCAATGTGAGAGAGAAACCAATCGGTTTCCAGGGATCAAACACAACCTAGGTATGTGCCCTAATCAAGAATTGAACCTGCAACATTTTGTTTTTTTCTTTGTTTGTTTTGTTTTTAATCCTCACCTGCTGACATGCTTGTTGATTTTAGAGAGAGGGTAAGGGAGAGAAAGCAAGCTACAGAATGTGAGAGAGAAACATCGATCAGTTGCCTTCCTGTACACACCCTGACCAGAGATCGAATCCAAAACTTGGGTATGTGTCCTAACTGGGAATCAAACCCACAACCTTTTGGTGTACGGGCTGACATTCCAACCAACTGAGCCACCAACTAGGGCCATTCATTTACATTTTTAACTATCAAACTAGTACAATCACATGGTATAAAAATATCAAATTGCGATTTTGAAAAATAAGGAAGTAAAGTAGTCTCCTGCCTCACTCCAGAGTCCTAAACCCAAAAGCAACTGCATTAAACTATGGCTATTCTGTTTTTACCTTCTTGTTTCTAAGTAATGTGCTCATTCTGCTATTTCTTGACTTACTAATTTTAGAGGGTATCTATTAACCGCTCTCCTTCCCTCCATCTCCATAGAGGGTCTGACTGCCTTACATTACTATCCC